CAGGTGGGAGAAAGTTATGTTTAAGTCCATATGTCTATTACTGATGTTAGCATTAGAATATCAATGTATTTTTGTTCATAGTCTCTGGTAATATTTAAATACCTTTCTAAACATTTTCCAGAATGACAGCACAAAGTTTTCCAGGAATAGCTTAGTTAACTTACGGTCTTCTGCACAAATGCTTTGGAGAAAACAAAACCCTGACCACATGCTTCTGTCTCCAATGAGATTTTTCATCTGGTAAACATCTTCCAGAAATTTATCTCTTAGCTGCACCATTTGTATGAAGTCTCAAGTAAAATAACAAAAACTATAGCACAGAAGGAGGGGAGAGGGGAAGTGAGGTGCTCTTCCCATTCCAGTCACAGCATATAAAGACAATGAATTTGCACAGGGGAGGCTTTAACATTCAAAACTGATCTTGACTTGTATGTTTCTTACAGTGGCAGATTCAAAGAAAGCACTTACTAAATGGAAGATTCTTGTAAATTTACAGTGGGCTAACTAATGGCCTTCCCAACATTCATATCTTTCTTCTCAGAACCCATGATTGCTACTCTGTCTAGAGATGAGGAACCTACAGACATGTTCATGCCGAATTATATGAGTGGACGCTGGACAGTCATGGTGATCTTCATATGGCAGCAGATCAGAGACAACTGTCGATGACATGAGGCATTTTGGGGACAAACAAAGCTAGAAATTACAGGCAGCAACAGAAACTGAAAGGGGAAAAGCAAGGAATTGCCTTTTCAAAGCTTCTAGAAAGAACTAATCTATTTAAAATTGGAACATTAGCTTACTGAAACCGATTTCAGACTCCTGACATCCAGAACTGGGAGAGAATATATTGGTGTTGTACTGGGACATTGAAGGTATAGAATTTGTTAAACTGGCCACAGGAAAGTGAAATAAACTATCTCTGTTTAATTTAGTTTATATTAAAAGTTCTCAAACCAGAAATTATGAACATATGTGGTTATAACCTTGAAGTGAAATTTATCAAACTAACATTTGAAGTTATGGGAAATATTTTTAAGGAAAACTGCCCCTGTTCATGAGCCCTACTTCAGGAACTTCAGAAATAGACTATATGTACCCTTTAAGAACTTTTGAACACTTCGAATACTTTGAAAATGTTTAAAAACTGGTATAGTGTTTGAAATGCATCTGGTCAGTAGTTGCTGGACAATGTCAGTACACCTAGTTGCTAGTCAACCATGCTGCTGCAACAACTTTCTTATTTAGTGTTGTGCTGTATACTAGTGAATATCCCAAAAAGTACACTGTAGGTCATGATGTAGTGCCTGCTGGATTTTTAAAGTTACTTACATATCTTTCCAATGTTCTGGAATATCCTTCTCCTGAGAGGAATCTCAAGATGTTCATTACAAAACTCCTCAAAATTTCTCCCATAAAACAGTAAAACTTTATTGAAGATTATTACACTTGAACATGTTGTTTAAAATATAATCATTATTTCAGTGTGACAGCCTCATACAAAGTATTTAAAGAAAATGAAGGTCTGTCATTGCTCTGTTTAATTAGCAGAAATTTTTAGACTTGAAAGATGTTTTAAAAAGTAAAAGAATTCAAAAAGAACTTGTGTAATTGTGGTAATTGTCTGATTTTATCAGAATTTCATCAAGTCAAAATTCCATTTATAGGTGTCACCTGCTAAAACTGGACAGCTTTGTTTCACATTTAGAGTTTTTCTTTATCCAGTTACTATTGCAAATCAGATGGTGGAGTCCATCAGCATGCCAGAATATTTAGACTTCTTTCTTATTTAAAGCATGATGCAATGACTCCCTTATCCACAGTTTTGAAAATGCTTAGCCTCTTTGTATCTAAATTGTTTGCCATCACCTTGTCTCTTCCTCTATGAATGCAATGCATTTATTTTTCATGGCTGAATGGCCTAAACTCTGGGATTTCTCTTCTAATATTTCTAAATAAACTGAACATACTCAAATATACATTTTAATTGTGCTTGCAATTTACTGTGTATTATGACTGAACACTTGTAGTTTTGTAAAGATAACATTGGAGATACAAATAACTTTACCATGATAAGGATTAGGAGAAAAAAAGTACTAGGATTTTTTTCTTTGTTTCTTTCATTTGGGGGGTGGGGTAATGGAATTTTTACAGTAGGCATCTACATTAAGACCAGTTGAGTTTGTGCAAGCTTAACTTCCTAAATAAATATACTGCAGCTTCTGAACTGTGTCAAATTACTCAACAAAATAGCCCCTGCTGCCTATGTACTGTGGGCTATACAAGCATAGTTGTTGTTATTTAGTTAATTGAGAATTTTGTTTTGTTTTGTTCAGTGTTGACAGGGTGAAAATTTAAATTTTAAATTTTAATAATGTATTGAACTATCCCACAACTACTTCAGAACAGGTTGGATTTTTGGTTTGTTTTAGGGGGATTTTGGTTTTTTTTTTTTAACTTTTCATATGCACATTTGAGATACTAGGAGATACTGTAAGATTGGAATGAACAGTAATAATACATTTACCAACATCTGATTTTATCAAACACTTACTATAGTACCAGTTTCTCTGACAAATTCTACTACAAAAACAATGGAGTAAGAAATTACTCCATTATGACTTAATTATCAAATCGTAGAGTTCAGTGTCTTTTCTGTGACCAGACTGACAGTTTGTAGAGTTTATACTGCCAAACTTTATAAGAAAGAAAGCAATCATTACAAATTTGAGATAAATATGAAAGCCTCTTATGTCACTATTTTAATCATCAGAACTAGGAGGAGCTTTTCATATTTCAGTTTAGATCCAGTCTATGGCTTGAACAATTGGCTTCTCAAGCCAACCACCCAGCTGGTTAGATTGCCACACAGGACATACCTTACTTACTTCTTAACTGACTAATGAGTAAAACAAACCAAACAGGAACATTTCTTTATAAATGTATATATTATCCTGTGTACTTTCATATTAGAATTTCCTTCTGTTAGAAGTATAAAAATATATTTTAGAAAACAGCACAAGGCCTGCTACATTATGGGTTTTCAATAAATTTATTCCTTCTTTTACCCAATTGGTAGAATAAAATTCTAGTAACTATAGAAATATACTAAAATTAATGTGTTCTTAGAATATGGCCTAGAAATTGACTAGACATAGCAGTAATTTAGTGAGACTTGACTATAGCTACACTGACTACAGATAGCACTCTTTAGCTTCACCTACCTAGTACTTTATATAACAGATGCACTAATTATTCTAAGCTGTGTGTTAGTACTTTATATAACAGATGCACTAATTATTCTAAGCTGTGTGTGTGTGTGTGTGCGTGTGTGTTGTATACATCGTCCATAAATGCATATAGCCACCACTTTGAGAGTAGTCATTAAATTATAATAAAATGTACTTATATGATAGGAATAAAAATCTAATAAAAGTTAATAATAATATGCAAAGGAAGAAATTACAAGGCTTTCTAATCTTATATTTATAACCTTACTATATTTTGTCTTCAGAAATTTCAAACCTAACATCTGGTGAGCCAGTCATTCAGAAATATCTCCATTAACTTGCTCACCACAATACAGATAGTGTTTCAACCTTAAAATAAAGAAATAAATCTATCTCTGAACAATAAATAAGGCAGAGCCACACTCAGATAATGAAGGTCAGTTTGTAGAGCTATTACATATCCAGCAAGGATTTATTTCAAAAAATGAATGGTTTCTTACTTAAATAATTAGAACAAAGTTCACTGGAAATATAAGAGAACCTTCTCAACAATTTTGAATATAAGGTTTTAAACATTATATGCTCTTAACAAAATAGTAATTAACTGTAGATGACAGATGCTGCTCCTTAGTCAATGGAGACTCTCGAGTTTTACTCTGCATCTCATTGGGAAGGAAATAAAATTTTTAAAATAGAATTAACTTGGGGGAAGGCATCAGTGCTGCAACTCTTAGCACCAAATGTTTCTTCTTGGAGCACCAAATGCTTTATGGAAAACATTCCAAGTATCAAAGTTTTCAGATAGATAAATATTTATGGATCAAATCCATAAAGAACAGACATTGTTATGAAATATATATAGATGCCTTCAAAACTTTCTTTCTAGGCAGAGAAGACACATAAGTTAGGAGTCATTTCCCACTTAATTGCTTTTGCAACCTTATGTAACACAAATGGATGATGGACAAGACTCATTTGTTTATACAACGAAGGAGATCTCAACTGACATCATGTCCAGATAAATCACATGGGGGCTATTGCTATGGATGAAAAGTGTCATGTAGAGAGTTTCAATGTCCTTTGCCAAGAAGATTAATTTTAAAAACAAATTCTTCTATTTTCTGGTTTGATTCATGACTAAAGCATAACATTGCTCTGGTTCATAACTTCAAGGGCAATGAAATTCTATCTGTCTTTGAACCTTACAAATGATACTTTTTCAGTCTATGTATAAACGCGTGACTCACCCTCTTCATTTACAGCTCTTTGTTGTATTTTTACTACACATCTCCAGCCAGTGCAACAAATCTCAAGAAAGCTATTTTGCCATTTAAAGGCAGAGGTTTATTTACATTTCTCATGTTATAAATATGCTACATGGTTCTGTAAAAATTTAAAGTGGTTACCAAAGAAACAAAGCCAGAGATCCTGTAGTATTTTTGATGCTCTTAAAATATCACTGATGGGCAGGGCATGCCTGCATCAGAAAGGAAGTTGCCTATTGGATAAAGTAGCTACAAGTCCTGCACTATAGGTAGACACAGAACAAATGTCTATAAGGACTCACTACAGAGAGTTGGGTGTACTTATCAGCCATCTACATTGCATGTGCACAGAGATTGTACCCATAACATCACTGTGAATCAACTGTGAACATACTGGACATTTTGCAATTGAATAGAATTCTATCTTGTTACTAACCAAAGGAGTTATGTATTCAACCCAAGAGAGTAAATTCTATGTTGGCTTAAAGAAACTGATAACAAAGACTCAGGTAAAAAAAATTTATTCATTAATATGTGGAGGTGTGACTTTGGATCCAGCCAGTCAGTGACATAAATAAGCTTGAGCAAAAAACATTCAAGCTAGAAGTGTGTGCACTTGTATATTTGTGTGTGTGCATAAAACTTCTTGGAGCAGTGCCACAAACCTGGACACCGACCAAAAGTATCACTGCAACCCTTTGAAATTTCCAGAGAGAGCACAATGTGGGTAATTATACCAGGATGCTCCAAATCGCTCTTTCCATCTTGTGCACTCACATGCCCGCCAAACATAAAATGTTCGCCTTCTCCCTTCCAAAGTGATGGTTGTTGAACTTATTTTTAGTGTCATTTGATAAGCCTTTGTGCTCACAGAGAGACATCCCACTGACCCGGCCACTGGTCATTGTCTATACCAGTTCCCATCAAAGCAGGCGCGCTTTGTCAGGTTTCCAGGCGAATATCCATTTCGCATCTGAAGTACAGTATCGAAAGTGACTAGATCATCTGAGCTATTTCCTTCAGCTGCCGCCGCCTTCCTCCCCCACCGTGTTTCTGCTCACGCTAACATAATTTGGCATCGTTGATGTGACACGATGGTGATATTTCTAAAAATTTATAGTAAGTATATTGTCAATGCTTCCCGATGGCGCCCCTCCTGATTTTAATTTATAAACTGAAGAAAGGAAGTCTTTTTCTAGGGCTGAATCACAATCAAGGCGCAGTGCTTCTCAATATCCAAGTAGCATGCATACAGTGATAGGTCATTCAATGTCAAAAGGCATAAAAAAGATGAGCAAAGTCTTCACAGGCTGCTGCTTGCTGTTGCCTTTAATTATATTAATTAAACTTTGAAATTTTCATGCAAAGAGAGTTGCTGGCTTGTGACGCTGAAGAGCCCTTGGAGACTTGAAGGAAGGAAAAAAAAAAAAAAAAATAAACCCTGAGCAGAAGCTTGATGGTTACTGCTTCCTTAAATTAAAAGCCAAACAAACACCTTGGTGTGCTTACAGATATTAATGCTATATGTACTGCTAAATCCTAAACACTGAAAAATGGAAATCTACCAGTCTGGGGACAAGGTCTCAAATCATGAGTCCTTACGCTGCACACCAGGTCTTTAGTTGCACACCAGGTCTTTAGTTGGAGGCGGTCTTCCCATTGAATTAACGCTCTATTAATTCTCTTGTCCCGAGTGCATAATGAAAGAAAGGTGTCTTGGAAAACTAAAGGGCAAAATCCTGCTTGCATCCAGTACCTTGAGGCATCTCGTCTACATTTTGTCATGCGTGTGCACTTTCAGTGTAACAGTGACAAGATTTTCTAGTCAGAAATCTCCCGTAAGGCACAAAGTAATAGGGGACTTCGAAGGCCTTTGCTATCTGACATAGCTACAAGGCTTATCTCTTTGGCCTGGAAGGAAAGTTCATGATCTGCGTGTAGTTAAAGATCTTGCCAAATAAAAGCCCACTCATCCTACATCCATGTCAAAAGCACCATTTGCCATTACAGAACCGCTGGTGGGTTTTCAGTCTTTGTTTTGGTCTCATCTTCACAACGTCACTGTGTCTGCTTTGTTCTTTTACACATTCAAATGAGCTCTGCGTAAACCATAGCATACAAATTAGCATTCCTCTGTATCTTCAGTGTCATGATCCATGAGTTATGGCTGAGTTTCATTGCCTCTCATGTAGACGGCAGAGGAAGTGTATGAAAATGTTTGGTGCACAGAAAGCAGAAGGCAGAGAAAACATTTTCTGACAGAGAAGAACTTCTGAAATGCACTGGACTGTCCATTCTGTTGGAAATCGGCTTCAGGAAGATGTGCCCTCTTCATCTCTTCTCGTTCTTTATGCTCTCATTTTATTGATGGGGAACTCGGGAGAAGTTTATACACCGGCCCTGAGGAAAGAAAGAGAGCCACAGTGAAATATCAAGCACTTGTTTCAAAGCCAGGAAACATCTAGTTTCTGTAACATGATGCAGTTAATGATGCCCAAGCTCAGAACAATGTCCACATGAGTCACAAAGTCTTATTATTTTCCTTGATTCAACACATATGGCTCAGGTTTTATTTTACTGGTTTTTTTTTTTTTCTTCTACAGAAAGTTCACTTATTTGATGATATGGTAAAACTGACAAAGAAAAAAAATCATAGAACTAAAACTTTCTTAGTGATGTCCGAAGTGTGGCACCACCATCATAAAAATCAAAGCATCAAAGACAATGACGTATATACCTCTATGATGAAATAAAGAGGAAGGATTTTATTTGTCATTTGTTTATCCTAAACTGTTTACATGAAGAGTTTTGTTTTAATAAGTCACAAAAACTGAGAATAAGGAAACACAAGACTGGACATAGATGCCATCTTTGTGCTGCATTTATTAATGGCTTTTGTAGCTCACAGCCATGTTTTAGATCATGTCCAATGTTGCGATCCATTTCTCACACCAGTATAGACACTATTTTCCCTAAATTGAGACTATTTATTTGAATTATTCATTTTCAATGAGTATTTTCCAGCCCAATTTCTAAACACTTCAATGAAGTTTGTGTGGACATACTGATTCATGGACAATCCAGTAATTATTTGGACTTTCCTTTCCTCCCTTGGTATGATACTGTTGATCTACCACATTAATTGTATCCACTGCTGGTCAAAAGCTAGGCTGCTCTCTTCCAATTTAGGCCAGAGTTATCATACGATTAAAACTTTTCAATTTGCTTATTACATCTACTATCAAAGCTCATCATGCTGGAGCTTCCCCTAATGTGAGCGCTTGTCTGGAATACTTGAAGCATGAGAACATTAAGAAACAAATGAACAAACCTTAAAATATATTGTTGGAGAAGAGAACTTAGAACATAAAAGCTTGATTTTTGTTAATTTTCCTTTCAAACATAACTGCTCAACAAATTTAGAAATTTCTGACATTTTTGAAACCATAAAACTTAAAGACAGAAAAGACGGGGAGTTTCATCAACCTCTACTAAAAGGCAATGGTCCATCGAGAGTTTTGTCTTCTACATAATTTGGAAGCAACAATATTTCTACAAACACCAATTTAATGAGTTTGTGCTTAACATATGAAGTCAGGTGTAAGTTTTAGATAATAATATACATCATATATCATAATTATACTTGCTTATATGAACACATAATTAACTCTGTTTTCTGAATTTTTGACTTAATATTTGTCTAATTATTTTTCTAGATTTAGGCTCATGCTCTACCCATATACTCTTCCAATGCATTGGGCATCACCTATATTGCTTATTTAGGAACTGATATAACTAGCTTGAATTTTATGTTCTACAAATGACTGAGCCATGTTTGAGTGATAACACTTGCCAATAAAAATTAAATTAATGTAATAACATTTCATTACTTTCAAGATGAATTATGAATAAATTTCTTCCTTTTGCTTTGGGGAAGTATATCTCCTTGAATTCTGTAGAAGTATGATTCAGTTTATTCATTGCCCATGGGAAATTATTATCAGTATAATTTGCTAACTACTTAAAGAAACTAAAACCAGGAAGAACAAACAAGAATTTACTACTCACTTTAGGCTACAACCAAGTATTTTAAACTACATTGCCTTATAAAGTCATTGTGAAATTCAATTATTAAGTTGTTGATCTTTCTCATAAACTCAAATCGATTAAGAAAATTAATTCCAAAACAAAATCACTAACAACCAACCTAAACTAACTGTTTTCTAGAATGTAAGAAAGATGTTTCTATGTTGATAACTGGCATCATTTTTATGCAGTCTTTGCAGATCATCATTATTTATCTAATAAAAGCTATAATTTTAGAGAAATAAAACTGCCTTCCTTTTAAAGCATAATGCTTTATGTAACCTTATATTGAACATATTACCTAATTACTGAGTTTCTGTGGCAAGGAAACAACTGAGATGTCATTTAAGTGGTAGTATAAATTATATGGCAAGCAACAACACTTCTATTCTTTAACTGTAATCTAATGTTGGAACTTCAAATATTCACCATGGGATTTTTGTAATAGTGAAACTATAATGTCAATTTATATTTATGCTCCATAATTCAGAAAATAAATTGTAAATCACCTAACTCAATAATATGTGGTCAATAAAATAAGAATCTTTAAAAGGTAAAGGAAAATGGTAAAGAAAAGAGAATGTCAAATTATCATATATGCGTGATCATAACTGTGCAAATATGTGCCTAAAAAGTAAAAGATTAACAGACAGCTCCTCAGCCAACTGTGAGGAGTGGGATTATTCATGACATCTTATTTTTCATTTATACATTTTCTGTACACTTGTATACTTAATCACTTTTAAATAAATATTTATTTTCAAAGAATAAATACAGTGACCAAAATGACTTTCTTTACAATTAAATTTCTTTACAATATTCTTAATTTATGTGTTACTAAAAGTCAGCCCAAACATCTATTCATATTTTGCTTTTGGGAACCACCACTAACTTCTCAGTCAGATATTTTCAACATTTGGTGAACTCATTCTCTTGTCTGGGTTGCATCTGGCATTTAACATCCAGGTGAACCTGTCTGAGTTGCAGGTCTGCTCAGGGTTGCCAGTGTCTGGAATCAGCAGATTGACTAGTAGATCTTAGATTCTCCACTTGGCATTTTCTATGAATGTGTGATCTAGAGTTAGCACTGCAAATCCTACAATCTGGAGTCTTCCTTTATTTTTTATGGTACTAAATTTCAGAAGTCTTGGTAAAAAGGCTGTTCAGGCATCTGACAATGTTGTTACTATATTCAGGCATCTGTACTGGCCTGTCCTTGGGGTTCTGACAGGATATGCCCTCAGCTGCAGCCACTAAGACCATGTGTTCCCTTTTGAAAGGGTCCTGCCCACCTCCCATCCTTCTCTCTTTCCCCCCTCTCTCTCTCTGCTCCTCTTTCTCTTACTTGTATCTCTTGAGGTCAGTCTCCATCCTCTCCCTTCCCTTTTTTACAATCCTTTTCCCCTAATTAAAAACAAAACAAAAAAAACCAAAACAAACAAACAAAAACCCCTCTTCTTGAACTTTGTTGCAAGGTGTCTTTCCCTCTTCAGCCACTTTTCTTAAATTACCACAGTTATAGTTGGCTAAATTTTTAAATATGTTTGTTCATATCTGTGTAAGTACATGACAATACCAAGTATAGTATACTTCTTATGTGTCCAGTGATTCATTACATTTAACCAGATGAAGGAGAATCTGTAATTTTCATACATCAAACTTTCTAGCCTCATTACTAGCTAGGGCACATGTTTCTTCATTCAATTAATAACACAAAATATTCATGGTTTTTGTACATTAGCAAAATAGTTTGAAAACCCTTTCTTTACAGGTAACTACAAAAACTCTTTTTTTGGGGAGAAGGCCCTAGTGAAATATTAGTCATCTATTTCTCTAAATCAATGATGTTTTCTCGCTGTGGTTTATGAAGTAGTGTGGATTCTACAGGTGGCTTCAAAGCTACCAAGATTGGAGTGGAACATGTGACAGTCTCAAACCCAATCTCACCTAAGGAGCTCTGCTGTGTGTTATCTTGAAGAGTGTAAGTCCACACTGTATAAGATTTTGTCTGAACTAAAACTTTAGTTTGATGACTACTAATACAGAAATTTAACCTTACCTTATGTTGAAAGGTGAGTGAACTATCCATATACCTTCATTTTACTTTATACAACTGTTATAACTGTTATAAGTGCCTTCATAGATCTCCAACATTATAATATTATCCCTATAAATTTTCACAATATAAAGAGCCTCTGTAACCATTGGGTATATAGGGAGAAGACTGGGTTTTAGATGATTATGGTTACAATATTGATATTAAAGGCTCAGATCACTTTGAGGCACCAAAAGCTTCAGCTAAGCTCACATGCAACTATATAACTTAGTCTTCTTCTCTTTCTGCCTTGGGAATAGGTGATTTAAAGGAACAAGTGATCATTACAGTGCACCTTCTGATGTAACTGAACCTGATTTTCACCCATAATCATTGCCCTATTACTATACTTCAGAAGCTTTGTGTGTTCTCACCACTTCTTTAGAAGTACTGTGTGGTTATGTAAATATACATTAATGCAATTTTCTTACTTCTTACTTTTCCCAATCAAAAGGAATATTCATATTCACTTTAACCTTCAGATTCTTCCAACAAAGCATCTCTTTGCCCTCTGCCCTGTGCAAATGGCCCTGTCTCATCTACTTTCCCTCTTTATTCTGGAAGCCTTATATACTGTACAGATAATACTATGTAGATACCAAATGATGATTTACATGAACTGAACCTGAATTACACAGAAACAGATAATATGAACTTGAAGTTTAGACATGTGAAATCATGAAGCCATGCTATTCTTCATATGACAGTCCACACAAATTAATCCTCTATGACTCAAGACTGATTTCATTGAGTTCTAGGAAATAGTTTGCATGATATGAATCATCACAATCTGGGAAGATAGCTAAGCTGGTGGCTCAAACTTGCAATTCCAGAATTTGGAGGTAGAAGCAGGAAGATTAGCAGTTCAAGTTCAACCTCAGGTACATGAGTTCTAGGCCAGTCTAGGGTGTATGATTCTCTGCCTCAAAAGTGAATCTGGAAATCTGTTAATATTCCCAACTTGCCCTTTAGAGTGGAGTTCCACATGAAGTTTTAATTATGTTACAGATTTTCACCATAAGAAATGGAATTACTAAGCAAGAATGTACCATGAACAAAATACTGATGGTAACAAGGCTAAACACACAGTCAGCTCTGACAGTTTTAGTTGTACTCAACTGATACTTAGGCAATCATGAAAATCTCCTCAGTGGTGATGTGTTTTATTAACACTTTCCCTGAAACTATTATTAGCAATGCCCTTTCTCTTAGACTTCAC